GAGGAAGAGGCCTAGCAATGTAGATAATGTTTTCTGTGAAAACTATAAGCCAGCATTGGCTGAGGCCTAACATGCAACCTCATTATTAACGCTATTTCAAACACAGACTCCCTCTCTTGGAAGGCACACAATGGTTGGACCTGTGTAACCAGATGGATGTAGCACGATGATCAGAATGTAAGAAATATATTTTCTCTAACTCAGGGTAAACTTCACTGATCAGAGTTTACCTCTTTCTACCTCTGAGATTCCATTTTTTCTAATAGTAAAGTAGGCATTTTGGGGGAAATGTTTTTGCTTCTCAGTTTTGCATGTTATAAATCTATAAAGGCTTATAATGGTAGGCACAACAACTGTTATAATGGCTAGCGATCTGATTCAAATTTATGCAAACAGCTAGAATTTTCTGTGTAATCAGCGATTGAGGAATTCTCTGCTGCTGCCATCTTGTGGCCACTTGTAGTAATAACAATGAGAATACTGCCTTTGCTCCACAGAAAGATGTCCCAATGAACCACCAATGTAGGAGTTCCCTCTGAGTTCTGGGTAAATACTTCCAAATGGCAGGTTGCCAATTGCTTTGCAAGGCAGTCTGTACCTGTGGTCTAAAACTCTGATTATTAGAAAGTTCTGGCCGGGCGCAGTGCCTCACGCCTATAATCCTAGCACTCTGGGAGGCCAAGGCAGGAGTATTGCTTGAGGTCAGGGTGTTCAAGACCAGTCTGAGCAAGAGTAAGACCCCATCTCAACTAAAAATAGAAAGAAAGTAGCTGGACAACTACAAATAGAAAAAATTAGCTGGGAAAGGTGGTGCATTCCTGTAGTCCCAGCTACTCAGGAGGCTGAGGCAGGAGGATTACTTAAGCCCAGGAGTTTGAGGTTGCTGTGAGCTATGATGACGCCCACTGCACTCTAGCTGGAGCAACAGAGTGAGACTCTGTCTCAAAAGAAAAAAAGAAAGAAAGAAAGTTCTTTCTGATACTGAGCCAAATTCTACCTAGATTTAATTTTTTATCCAATATGTCCATCTTTTTCTACTTTCTAATTTTTTTTCATATCTGAAGGCAGCTGCTTATCATATTTTCCTCAATTTTTTTTTCTTAGACTAAATATTTCAGCTCTTTGATCTCTCCTTAAATGATATGACTTCCTCTTCAACCAGAGTTTGAGACAGTGATTCCCAGGCAAGTGATATACTGGGGAGTGGCCTCAGGCGAAACCTACCAGGAGTAAAAGAGAGGGAAGCAGGTTAGAGAAGAGGGTAGAGCTAAGCAAGGATGTAGTCCCAGCAGGGAGCTCTGGGGCAGGAAGGGCACCAAAGAGTTAGTCTCACCTTCACGCAAGGACTTCAGTCTTTTTTCTTCTATGTCATTCAGTCATTGGCTCTGGAGGTGAGGAGAGTTAGGGGGAACCAACCTGAGTGAAGTGGTTCCTGTTTGGGCAAGGGCAATTCTCGAGAGTTAACAGCCATGCTCACAGCATGTGGGGAGTGAGTGCCTGGGAAAGGGGATCTGTATACAGTCTGCTAATATCCCACCTAGGTCATTATGCTCAGACCAGGACCCAAATATCCCAGATGTGGTCTGATGGATAGAATTCATGGGGACTATTCAATCTCATTCTCCTTAGCCTACAATTAATAGTGTAGGCCTACATTCTGGTGGTGCTAATCTAAACCCCAAGATATTTTTCACATGAAAATGCCCCCAAGCCAAGTGTCTTCCATTAGTGTTTATTGCATGATGATACCAAAAACACAAACACTTTTATTCCTTTAAAATTTAATGTTGTCATTTTAGTTTTACATTTGAGCCAACTGAGTTCTCTTTGAATCTAAACTCTCGTTGTCTGACTCAGCACTCTCTGCTTTGTCTTGATGAATGGATCTCTTTGGTAACTTTCAACTTCCTCATCTGTTCTTTATGCCTGATGGCTAGTCATCTGTTAATATCTGGCTTTAACTGCCCTGCCTTATAATTTCCATTCCGTTGCTGCCCCTCTTCCAGCACCACAGAGAGAACTTTGGTTGAACATGACCAGGGGCAGGCCTGAGGCCAGGGCACAAGAGAGTCAGCCAAGGTTTAACAGAAACATGATTCTGAGATAAGCAGACAGCCTAGAACCCAGGTAGTTACACAGGCAATGTTAGGTGACCAATATAGAAAACTTGAGAATATCAGCATAGTAGCCCTGAGCGTTCTGATAGCTTGATAGGAGATGAGGAGGTATCTGAAAATAATTTAGGGAATGTATCTAACCAATATTCAACTCATTTAAATAAGGTGCACGGTGGTATGTGATAACCTTGAACGTTAGGATTTATAGAGAATTATCCATCCTCTAGGATAACATTTTCTGTATATCCAACTGCAGCATCATTGCAGCATCAGACCCAGGGGAGGTAGGCAGCATGACGCTTTCCCCCTCCTCCCATCAGCCCCAGTGCTCTACACAATCATCCCGGGGGCAGAGAAAGTTACCTCTCCTCTGACTGTGACTGAGGTGTTGGGTATAGCCCTCTTTCCCCAGGCTTCCATCAGAAGCAGCCATGACTGTGGGCAGCCCTGCAAGCATGTTTCTCCCTGCCAGCCTGGTCCAGAACTGGCATACCCTTTTCCCCAAAGGGCAATGGATGAAAAGCATCACCATGAAAGGCAGATATACTTAGGACAGACCAAGGACCATCTAAAATCACCTTATGCACTCCCCAAAATACGCGTCCCACCAACCTTTGGGAAACGCCATTTGCAGCATATGTTCTGGAGTAGAGAATCATCTAATTATTCTATGGTAATTCCATTCCCCCACTCTCCCAGACCAAAGCCCTAAAAACCTTGAGAGCAGTGAGACTGTACAGTGGAAGCCACAGTAGATATCACCTCTGAACCAAGAAGTAGCCTTTTTCTTTCCTAGTTAAGAGACATGGAGCGTTACATATGACAAATACTCTCATTTGTTACCCTGTCCACCAAGTTTATTAGGTCTTTACATGATTGGGCTCTCTTTACAAATCAACTTAAACAAACTGCAATTATGGCATCAAACAGAGATTCCAGAGAAGAGGAACAACCTAGCATTGAATTTACTCCCCCAAATGCAGGCACAAGACAAATTCCATACTGGGATAGTTCAACCTGGGTACTTGATTTTAGAGTCACCATGTCTGTCTGTATTTAAACTAGGTAATTATCTTTTAACCAGGCCAAAGCATTCAAGTTTCAAAAGGTCACAGTGAAAAGTAAGTTTCCTTCTCAACTTTTCTTCTAGTTCCAATTCCTTTCCCCAGAGTTAAATGGTATTGCCAGCTACTTATGCATCCTTAATCACAGATATCCTTCAAAGTAGATATCAGTTGTGCTATAATTATAATTATGAATACCACATTCATCATTTCTTTGAAATAGTGTTCTAGTGATATTTTAAGAAATCTTTTTTCCTTTTATATCACCTGTTTTGGTTTGAGTTTCTTCAAAAGCAGAGCCTGAAGCAAGGAGTTGGATGCAAGCAGTTTATTAGGGAGATGATCCAGGGAGCAGAAGTGAAAGAGTGAACAAGGAAGAGAGAAAAACTAAGACAGGAACATCAGCAATGAACATATAATCAATAATTCTATTTTGGGCTGGGCACAGTGGCTCATGCCTGTAACCCTAGCCCATTGTGAGGCCAAAGCAGGAGGATCACTTCAGGCTAGGAGTTCAAGACCAGCCTGGGCAACATAGTGAAACCCTGTCTCTACAAAAAAAAAAAAAAAAAAAAGACAGAAAAGTTAACCAGACATGGTGGTGCATACCTGTAGTCCCAGCTAACCTGGAGGCTGAGTTGGGAGGATCCCTGAGCCCAGGAGTTTGAGGTTGCTGTGAGCTATGATTGCACCCCTGCACTCTAAGCTGGGCAACAGAGCAAGACCCTGTCTCTAAATAAATAAATAAATAATTGAAAATAAATAAAGAATTCTATTTTGGATATATTACGTTTGAAATGTCTTTTAAATATCTGATGAAGAAGTTAAGCAAGCAGTTGACAAAAACAGTCAAATTATTTACAATCAATAAAATATAACTGATCACTGTTTGGTTTCGCAATAACAAGTTTCTCCTCTGGCCTAATGCCTGTCCCTGCCCAGGCTTTCTTTCCACTGATGATTGATGTTAGTTAACTGGAGAGTGAGCATTCTATCAAACTCCATTTAGAGTCCAGAAGATAAACAGCTAGCCTTTCCTGCTGGTGGCAGCTGCTTTCCAGATGCCAAAATCACCCCTGAGATCTTTTATCGCATCAAAATAAAAAAGGTCCCAGATGCTGCTTTCCACAAACTTCACAGATGGTTTTTCAGTGTATTACTCCACAAAGTGGAAGCCATTATCGCATTCATTTTTCATGAGGTGCTGTAATAGGAATCCTGAGGGAAGCTGAAAGCCTTATTAATAATGCATGTTAAGTACAACTGATAGGCGCTCTTGTCATCTTAACATCACCGAGAGTGTTAGAGCAAAGAGGCGTGCATGTGGCAACATGATCACATACAGCGTCCCTTCTGCTGGGTAATTGGCAATGAAGGGACTGGAGGTGAATCTTCACTTTTCAGCTTAAGTTAGTGGTTCTTCAGCATCAGTGAGCAGAAAAAACATCTGAGGATGATTCTAATTCAAAAGGTCTCCCTCCCTTCCTTCCTCCCGATAAATATCTCTTAAGTTCCTGCCATGCATCAGACAATGCCTTAGGTCTCGGAATCAGCATATTAACAAACCCTCTGAATTATTTTTTGGCAGGTGGTTTAGAGAACACATTGTAGGAGGAGCTGGCCTAAAGAAACCTGTAATCGATACAGTGGTTATCTCTCTAACGTTCATTTTATCCAGCTCCCCAACCCATACAACAGATGTTGTATTGTGTTTATGTATCTACCCTTCTCTGCTCAGTCACGAGCTTCAGGAGAGGCTGGCCGGAGACCCATCCGGACTGTTCTAAGGCAATCATGGTTTTCCTGTTTCCCTTTGCAGGGATTGGTTTAGACTTGACCATGTGACGTAGCTCTGACCAATCATACTGAGGAGAAGTCTGCGGGGATGGCCTTTTCTTCTTCTGGACATGGTTGTATCCAGATGTAAAGTCTGGCACTGGGACAGTCACCTGACTGTCAAGGAGGGGGAGGCTAGCCCAAAAATGAAGCCTGCTCACCAGGGTGACAGAGCAGCAAGATGGAAAGAACTTGGACCTTGAGCATGTCATCGAGCCATGGAATTATCCAACCCTGGATCTGTCCTATTCTTGGACTTCTAGATGTAGGATAATAAATGTACTTGATGTTTCAGCCAGATGGGTATGGGATTCTTTTATACTCTCTGCTAAAAAAAAAAAAAAATTCTGAGTGGTATTGAATTAGTATGTGCACTTTTGATTCAGGGGTTAAGATTTCTGTAATTTACTATTACATAATTGTAACATAATGTCTCTTGTGTGTTCCCTAGAAGCTGAGCCTGAGACAGGATTTAATGCATGTGAGTTATTGAGACTATGCCCTCAGGAGAAACCAGTAAAGGAGGGAGTGCAATGGAATAGGAAAAGGGGAAGAGATGAGCAACGATGTGGTTTCAGGCAAGGTCTGGTCTTGGCCTGATCCATGGGAGGTTCCGGTACCATAATGAACTGGGGTCCACTCGCCCAGTGCAGTAAAGTCAGACACTGACACCAAAATTTACACCAGGAGAAAAAGGCATTTTATTGCATGGCATCAAGCAAGGAGACCATACAGCTAACTCTTAAGACCTGAACTTCCAGATGGCTTATAAGCAAGGAGTTTTAAAGGCAGGGATACATTCCAGGAAAGCAGAAATTGTAGGCAAAAATATAAATCAATACATGGAAGTTATACATTGGTTTGGCACCTGGATGTGGCTCTCTCCAGGCCCCTCAGGAAGAAATTTAGAACGAAGAATGGTGGTGGTCAGAGTTCAGTTTTCAGTTGTCCCTTATCTGAGGTCTATGGCAATTTTAATCTGGTGGGAGTTTCTGAAAAACAATTCAAGAACATATGTTAAGTTGTTATCTTTTAGTTTCTATAGAGAATCAAAACACCTTGTGACTCTGGCTTGCTTGGGAGACTATTATTACTATCTTCTTGTTTATCAGGTTGCTCATTTACTTTTTAAGGCTAGCTAGGTGCCTAGAACTTCCCTTAAAGGGACTCAAGATTTTTCTTTTATTTCCATGCTGTGCCCACCCTATCCACAGCCCTTTAAGAGGGGTCTCCTGCTCTGTCTCAGTTCTGGAGCTACACTGTTAATAGGATAGCCACTAGCCACAGGTAGCTATTTAAATTTAAATTAATTAAAAGGAATTAAAATTTTAAAGTTCAGTTCTTTCATCATATGCCAAGTGCTCAGTGGCCACAGGAGAAACCCACAGGTAAATTCTTTAGCCGTAGCACTCATACTAGCTCCAAACTCATCATCAGCTAAAAGTTTTATATCTGGGGATAAAACCAACTGTGACCACTACCCCTGGTGTCTAAGCAGACATAAGCTGGGATGCAATGCTATTGGCAGAGTGGTTGGGCAATACGCCTTCCTTGGGGATCCACATTGGGAATTTAGAATCCCCTGGATTGCTCCTGAGAAGCACTTTTAATCCCTAACAATCCCCCTGGGATTCAGACACATACTAACTATATAAGCATATCTGATGGATGGGTTTCTCTAGTGATGCCCAGATTGCAGGAGAGACAATGGAAGCTCAGAGAGAAGACTCTCAGAGAGAAAGGAACCTGGCACAATGAGTAAGACCTAGAAAAAAGTGCCTGGATATCAAAGAGGGCTGGTGACTCTGGACAGAACTTGGAGCTGACCCTGGAACTGTCTCATCCAGCTACTGTATCCTATAAGAAAGAAGATGAAGGTATAAATTTTTATTAAGTGCTCATCATGCTTCAATTAATATAATACCTGTGTCTAAACATTGGTTACCTTTTCATGTGACACCAATTTTTTAAGAAGAAAAATTTTCTTAGAAACAGGTTCTCACTATATTGCTCAGGCTGGTGTCAAACTCCTGGCTCAAGTGGTCCTCATGTCTCAGCCTCCTGAATAGCTGAGACTGTGGCACTTGCCACTGTGCACAGCGTGACACCAGTTTTGTAATGCCATCTTCTATAAAAAGAATAGAAGATAATTCAGTCTCTCCTCTTGTTTTTTTTTGTTTTTTGTTTTTTGCAGCACTCTCTCCTCTTGCATGGTTGATCAAAATTTGGCTTTTATTTTTGCTACTTTAGAAACATTTCTTTTTGCTTCACAACTTGTTATGGCATATGCCACATCTCTCTCTTCTTCCTCAGTTCCTTGCTCAGGGGTCCCTTCTTGCCTGGCGTAAAGTTCTCAGATGAAACAGCCACGTGATCTCACTCTCCATGGCCTGTGAATAGCGGCTACCAGAGCAGCTGGTCCAGCGCAGGTCAAATCTTCACTGCCCTGTCCCATCACTGGTTTGGTTTAGGGGTGGGGGAGTGCAGGAGGAGGGAGGAGTCATAGATGCCCCTGAGCAGGAAGCAGAGGAGCTTCTCATTCAGAGTCTTCTTCTTGAGGTCAAAGAATCCAGGGAGTGACTGACATACCCACTCAGTGCACATCAGCCCAATGTCCACCTGCAATGTTGCCTAGGGGCTGTCACTGAAGCCCACTTTGCTCACCCGTGTGGCAAGCTGCAGATGACCAGGAATTACTGCCCCTGTCCCCCAGTAGCTTTCAGCCAATGATTGATTAGTAGGAGTTAGTGTATAAATACTGAGAAAGGAAATAGCTATCTGAGCTATGTGAGGTATGCCAAATTTATCAGGCTTAGAGAGACCTGAGTGCAGGACTACAATCATGCCCCCTCCCTCCCCATCCATGCCTAAAGATATTTTGTCCTGGCTAGCTACCCTAACCATTATCTTCATGTTTCTGGAATTTATGATATAAAGAGAATATATAGCCCATCTATAGGTTATGCTATTATTATTTTTTTAATTTCAGGATATTATGAGGGTACAAATATTTTGGTTACATTTTATGACTTTGCCTCACCCAAGCAAGGATTAGAGGCATGCCCTTCCGCTGGTTATGTTATTTTAATGTAAATTCTTGGTAAACAACTTAGAAATTGCCTCTTTTCTTCTCTAAAAACCTACTTGTGCAAAGATGTGGAATCAACTTGAGTGCTCATCAATTCACGAGTGGATTAACAAAATGTGGTTTATGTACACCATGGAGTACTACTCAGCCATAAAAATAAATGAATTAATGTCTTTTGCAGCAATTTGGATGGAACTAGAGACTATTACCCTAAGTGAAGTATCTCAAGAATGGAAAAACAAACATGGCATGTACTCTCTAATAGTTTATAACTAATCGAGGTGCACACATGGGCATGGAGAGAAGTAAAAGTCATTGGAAATCAAGGGGAGGGGTAAAAACCTACCTAACAGGTACAATGAACACTATTTGGGTGATAAGCACACTAATAGCCCTGACTTAAGCATTATGAAAGCTATCCATGTAACAAAAACATTTGAACATCCTTAATATTTTGAAATAAGAAAACACAAACCAAGAAACAACAACGAAAAACCCCACTTATGGCACAGTAGCTCACACCTGTAATCCCAACATTTTGGGAGGCCAAGGTGGGAGGATTGCTTGAGGTCAGGTATTCAAGACCAGCCTGAGTAACATAGCACGACCTCTTTTCTATAAAAAATTTTAAAATTTGCCTGGGTGTTGGCGCATGCCTATAGTCCCAGCTAGTTGGGAGGCTGAGACAGGAGGATCACTTGAGCCCAGGAGTTTGAGGTTTCATTGAGTTATGATGATGCCACTGCACTCTAGCTTGGGCAACAGAGTAAGACTATGACTCCTTAGCCTCCCCCAAAACCCACTTGTAATTGCTGCTAATCATAGTGCATATCCAAGGCAACTTGAATCTATGCTCTTGGGTGGCCATCCTCAACTTTTGCATTTGAATAAACTTTTTTTCTTTTTTCTTTTCTTTTTTTAAATTATTTCAGCATATTATCGGGGTACAAATGTTAAGGTTGTGTATATTGCCCATGTCCCCTGTCTCCCCTTGAGTCAGAGCTTCAAGCTGAATAAACTCTTTTTAAACTAGATTCTGGCCATGTTTGTAATCCAGGGCCCCTAATCCCAGCATTTTTGTAGGTTGAGGCAGGAGGATTGCTTGAGGTGAGGAGTCTGAGACCAGCCTGGACTACACACTAAGACCTTATCTCTACCACAACAACAACAACAACAAAAACTGGCCAGGCATGGTGCCACTTGCCTGTAGTCCCAATTACTCAGAGGCTGAGGCAGAAGGATCACTCAAGCCCAAGTGTTCAAGGCTACTGTGAGCTATAATCATACTACTACACTCCATCCAGCCTGGGCCACAGAGTAAGAACTTGTCTCTTAAAACAAAACAAAACAGAGAACAAAAACTATATTCTGACCTCTGATTATTTTAGGTTGGCAATACCAAAGCTCTTCATGCTTTGGGTAGGATACTTGAGCATGTGAGTCTACACTGGCTCCAAGAGTTCCCATCGTGACTGAGCTACAGTTGTCCTCATGGTAATTGGCTTGATAACATCCCTGCCTCCTTTATTTTGCCACCTTCTCCTCCTTTGGTGTTTCTTTGCCTCCCAAATGAACGAGTTGCACTTGAGTCATGTCTCAGCAGCTGCTTCTGGGGATACTCAACTAAGGCACTGTATAAAGTCCACCAGAGGCAGCTGTCACTGGGGACTGGGTGATGTGGGCATCATGCTGCCAGCCTGCTGCCTAGCTTAAGCCCTAGGACCATCAGCAGGGCACAGAGACCAGGCTGGCATGCTGTACCTTCACATCTTCAGAACGGTTAATTTAAGTCTGGAGTAAAGATTGTTAACAATAGTAGATTACAATACAAGTCACTCCCATATCATTCTTTTTTTTTTAAAGTATTGATTGCTTGAGACAGAGTCTCACTCTGTTGCCTGGGTGAGTGCTATGGTATTCAGCCTAACTCACAGCAACCTCAAACTCCTGGGCTCAAACGATCCTCCTGCCTCAGCCTCCTGAGTAGGTAGGATTATAGGCATGCACCACCATGCCCAGATATTTTTTCCTATTTTATGTAGAGATGGGGTCTCACTCTTGCTCAGGCTAGTCTTTTTTTTTTTTTTTTTTTTGAGACAGAGTCAAATTTGTGCACCAGGCTAGAGTGATTGCCTTGGCGGCAGCCAGCTCACAACACCTCCAAACTCCTGCCCAAGCAATCCTCCTGCCTCAGCCTCCCGAGTATGGGACT